AGAGAGAGAGAGAGAGACGGGCATACAATTTGCACATTGCGAACTGCAGCCATTAGCAGCACACTTGGCATCTCCACTGCAACCAAAATTGGATATTCCCATACAAGAAACATGAGAGTTTTTAGAGAAACATACCTGATGGGATCTCAAGATAATTGATTGGATAGGAGTGTCCAAAATTTACCAAATTTAAGTCCAAAAGAACAACTAAGAATAAGCCTTGCTTTGTACTTACAAACAATAATGGGAAGCAAAAGATCACTTCCATCTTCCATTTTTAGTACAATAGCAGGATGAGGAGCATAATCGGGCAGATGACCTCCTTGAGGGTTGTTGTGCACACATCTTAAATGCCTCCCATCTCTCATTTTGATCATAAATCCCTCTGAACCACTTTTCACCTCAACTGCAAAAGAAAAATCATTTATTAGAGACCACATTTTCTTGGTTCAATAGAATTTAGAAAGGGAAGAAATAATACCAACAATGTGCACTAGAAAATCCAAACAACAGATAATCATCTAATGAATGCAGAATGGTCACCACCTCTCGTGTCTAGTTAAAAAATAAAGAAAAAACCAAACATATTCGCATAAAACAATTGCCACTGGAAAGAAACCCCATCTTGAACAAGGAGGTCATATTGATATGGAACGATATCAATAACAGCTTCTTTTTGCTGATAATCATCAGAATGACTAAGATTAAAAATTAAATTGTTGCACCTCCCGTGACAACAATCACGATGTATACAAGCTTATAGTGGGGCCTCTTTTTAATAATTGATATTTCTACTTTTTCAGTAAAAGTTCAGATTACAACATAAAATCATCCTTCCAACATAATACAAAACCATCTTCCATTGATTTCACAAAGACCTGACAAAAAATTAACATGCATGTTTTTAGATGGTTGACATAATTAACATGTATTTTATAAAATCCTCATATACAAGAAATTAGGAATGAAACCAGGGATAGTTATATGAGAGTCTAGGGAGACCCATTATAACAAATGGAAGTCATCTCCATATGCGAGATTATGCTGCCAAAGATTCCAAGCTTAAGAAAGAAATCACTGTGTGTGAATCCTGAAAATTTTCCTTACTACAAACAACAGCTAAAACAGAATCCACAACATATGCCACATCACATTTGGATTAAATACTCAATTCAAAACTCGAGCAAGTGAAATAAGTATTAGGTTGCTTCTTTTCCTTTTTCAAAATCAAGCAAAATATTTCGATTTCCCTACTTGAGACGAATAAGTGCACACAGAAAGATCAGGGTTTCTGAGACAGAAGCCCATAATAATGCGAACGCCAGAATACAACACAACTTTCTACAGTGATACTCTAAACCATAATGAAAGGAGGATCAGAATCTATCAATAAAAGAAGTAGGGCAAGGAGACAAGGCAAGCCATTAGCAGATGGGAAAATGAAATAATTATGTTACCAGCTTCAAGAACACTGGAGTTGACGTAATCTTCATCATTCTCATTGAAATTCTCAGCCATGCTTCCATTACCACGTGAGGATGAACTGGAAGTGCATTTAACGGTCATGCCCTCTCCATGAAATGGCCTCGTGACCAGCTTTATTCTACCTCTAAAGCTCCCTTTTTGTCCCCAAAACCCACCTTTCAAAACCTTAGATTTTATGAAAGGTCCAGTGGCTGTCAGTGTAGCAGCTCTTTCATGTTTTACACGAATGGCAGGGCAAATAACAGGTCCCTGCAATGCTCCCATATCTACCTCTTATCCTCTATACCTCCTTGCTAAAACCAAAACATTATATTAAAATTACATGAGTATACGGACACTAAATAAAAGTTTCAAAAGACCATAAACTTTCATGCACAGATGGGTAAACAACAATACTTGATAAAGATAGGACATTCAGACAATGTGATAATCTGGAACCACGCATCATCGTAACAGATATACACATGATTAATTCCATTTAATTTTCTAAACTAAAGGGATTCTCTAAAGCATAGGTTTTCTATGTCAACCTGAAAGGAAACCTCCAAGGATCAGAAATTATTTTATACACAATGATAACAAATAATTCAAAGATACCAGAAATGATGATGCCACAAGCTTCAAGATAATTTTCAATCACGAAGGAATAACTCAATCTAATTATATTGCAGATAAATATAATGTCATAATAAGTAGAACCTCTGAAATATGTTTTTGTAGTATTCATAGAAAAGCATTACAGAGAAGTACATTGCATCACCTGAGCTCAGAGATGCTAAATCTCATGCAACAATACTAAAAATTACCCAGAGCTACATAACCCATGTATGGCTCACTCTCTAGTAAACGTTGGTCTTCAGTAAGTTAGATTAAAAATTCAAAATTCCATAATTAAATGAGATTTGCAAGCACCATAACATAAACAGGCAAAGATAACATGGAAGCAACCGTACCAGAAGTCTTTCGCAAGCCCAGGCTCAGCTTATTACTCGATCTTTCAAACTGCAGTGAATCAGCAGATCATCAGGTTAAAAAAAACAGGCAAACAACCGATCCAATGGGCTGCTTTTCAATTTTACAAACAAAAATTAAAGGATTAATAGGTAATACAGTAGCACATTACCGGTAAAAATATTTTCTGGAGGACCATATCTGATGATCTTTCAAACTCCAGTAAAATTTTTAGTTTCCAAAAAGAAAAATAACATACTTTTTTTAAAAGAAAAAAAAAATTGGGCAATTCTATTCACAGAAATATTGCAGTAAACACCGACATCATTATCTGTCCCTTTTCTTTAACAATAACCTACATCTAAATTCTGCCAAATGTTTAATGCAACCAAGCATATAGTAGAAAATAGAAGAAAAAAAAACGAATCAATCCATGATCTTCAAAAACAAGAAACTCTAAAAACTTAGAAAATATCGAGAATTTTTAATAATGCCTAGAATTTAAATAGAAAGGTGTCAGAGCTCATGCTTTCGAAAGTTTTGAGCGTTAATAGCTAAACCCCACTTAATTGCTAAACCCCAATTAACTCAAAATTTTTCTGGATGTGGAAAGTGAAGCATCATACAAGCATATTCAAGGTGACTTCCCCAAAAAGAAAAAGAGGATCAATAAATAAAAGAAAATAAACAATAGCAAGCAGATTAGAACTTGAAATACCAGAGATAAGATACAGAATCATCATGTTACAATAATGTTGGAAAGGAATTACGGAAGATGTCAAATGAAAAGATTAAATAACTGAAAAGAACCAATAACCTAACAAAAAATGATGATGGCTCCCAAACCCATCAAATTTTCAAGGATATTTTGCAATGTTTTAGTCTGTATCAGGAGCAACTAATGAGTTGAGATTCAAGAAAAGACATTAATCCCTACTTCTTTCATTTTCACCGGACTTTGGCAGAAATTTTGAAATCTTAAACATATATTGCCACATATAGAAGCAAAAAAGAAACAGAGATACACCTAACCAAATATAATTAAAGAGGGTTCTAAGACATATATCCAAAGTTACCTTGAACAAGGGAAATTATCATAAATCAGTTCAAATGTATAGCCGACCCCAAATAGTTGGGACAAGGGTCGGATGGTGATGATGATGATCATCATAAATAAGTTCAAAAGAGGAAAATATGTGAAGAAATATCTGAAGCCAAGCTGTTTATTGATCAAAAAACAGATGTGGACCACATAGTACACATTTCTTCCTGGACATTTTAGCAAATATAAAGTATTGCAAAAGGAAGTCTAAAACTAAGCAATTTTAAGCTTTAGACACCAAATATAAAGAATATTTCTTAATGCTACAATTTTTTGTTAATGACTGCGATGATAACAATAACTGGAGATTTGTGTAACAGAACTTAAGAAAGACGAGGAATGAGATACAACACAATGGTGCATGTAGAGAAACACAATACAGCACAGCAAATTGCTTGCATATTGCAGCAGCACCTAAAGATCTTTTATAACCTGAAACTCCAGGAATCAATGTATTTATTGGAAATTCGCTGATCGTTGAATGCAGATATAGCATAACAAATAGCTAAAAACTGACTTAGCACAAAATATTGAGAGAGAGAGAGAGAGAGGAAGTTGATTTAACATAATAATTAAGGGAAATAAACAGTACTTCAAATTTTGGAGCGTGTAACACAAGGATAGAACAGAATCCTTTGATAATCGCCAGAAATTAGCAGAAGGTATTAAATTTCATCAAACCCTACAAAAAAAATGTACATAAGAGTAGATATGTGAAGTTAATCTGGCAAAAGATTCATGTTCATCATATTAATTCCTATTCAACCGAAATAAAATCCAAGCCAGGAAAGTGTCTAATACAACATAGGAAAGAGCAATAACTCTTTCCTATCTTGTAATACACACTTTCCTATTTTGGATTAAAGAATTCTTTCATATTACCAGTAGATATTAAGCTGAAACTGCAAGTGATCAACACAGTCCTCAGTGCTTCAATGGAGTGAAAAGGATTCAAAGTTTTAGAAAAGAGAGAAAGAGGCCACAAAATACACAAACAGCTGACAAACAGGGCGAGAGAAGCACCCAGCATAAAGAAAAGAGAGAATCAAATGCACCTTAGAGCACGGAAAATGCATATAAAGAATTAAAAAAAGAAACATATGTAAGATTAGAGAGAGACGGCATTAATATACTATTTTTACCTCAAAATCACTGCACCAATAATTTACAGAAGCCTAATGCTTAGATCTTCAGAAGAATTTGAAGATAATAATATTACAGAAGAATGTAAGAAGAGAGAGATATTGGTGCCGTATAATTATAGCAGGGAGAAGTGAAGATGAGGGTGCGAAGAAAAAAACCTCTTCTCGATGGACAAAAGAACCCTTTTATAGCTCCTAAAATATCCTTGACGACCCTTCAATTGGGGCAGTACCCGTAAGGCCCCTGACTTCATCCTAAATGACATATTATACCTTTAAGATTCTGTTTTTATCTTTTCTTCTTTTTTTAATTTTACGCCACCTCCAAACAAACGCACAAATATCGTAGGGATGGTATAGAATGTGATTATTTATTTTTAGAGTAGGGAAGTTACAGTTACTTACAACTATTCCGCTAAGAGAACTAGTTGATCTTATGGATCAATTAGAAGTTGGAATCATGTTGTGATGTATTGATTACTTTTAAACAATTCGAACATTGGAAGGGGTTGAGGTTGTGGTGGTAGCATTTCATACGTCAGTTTCATGTTGTAGTTTTCATTTTCACTGATACGTTGAAAAACTCACTAATTATTTAAAAAATGGGTTTATTTTCCACTGAATTACCTAAAAAAAAAAACATATTGGATAATGGATAATTAAGGAGACATCAAATAGATTAATTCAAATCAATCCCACTTCAAACCAAAATTAGGTAATGGGTCATTTTTCACTTATTGAAAAAATTTTATGCAAGATATCAAATTTATATTATTGAAGTAATTGTGCACTTCAAAAATATTGATCACTTCAAACTCGCAATGCATAAATATGAAAATAAAAAATAAAATAAAATAAAAAAGAATTTCTATGCTACATAGCCCGCACATGTAGAAATGTGGCCCTATTAGTAAATTTATTTTTCATATAGATTTTTTTACTTAATTTTTAAGTACATGGAGATCATGAATATGAAAAAATAAGTAAATTTTAAAAACTATAAATAATAATTCTAATAAACAAATATTTGGACAGTTGGTTTCATTATTTTTAGATGGAACACCTATTTGCATCTATCTTTAAAATGGATGATTTATACTTTTTGGATCACATATGTAGTCACGAGGCCCAACACACATGAAACATATGTTTTTTTTAAATTATAAGTTGGACCGCATATGTAATCATGCGGTCCAACCAACATGAAACAATTTTTTTAAAAAATTATAAATTGGACCGCATATGTAATCATGCGGCCCAACCTACATGAAACAACTTATTTTTTTTAATTATAAATTTCTTAACTAGTGATGAAAATAGATTTTTAACGATCGTGAACACCAGAATTACGAACTCTTGAAACGCGTTTGGAAGAAGGTACGATAGCCTTCCAATTTCCCAAAAGAATGGTGTGGTCACTTTACAATAGTTAAGGCCTTTATAGTCATTTTGAAGGAATTTTCAGCCTGCTTACCCCTACTAACCGTGGTCAATGAAATTGATGACGCCATCTTTTTCATTATCTGCCGATAGATGATGCCGCTGTCCTCATTGAACGGTTCGTAAAATTCCACGTGAACGCCGGAACGTAATCGTGAAGTGCCCCTTCTTTTCTTTACAATTCAACTACTCTAACCAATTCAAAATGTCCCCTATATTAAAAAATCACAAGAAGATACTTATTTATTATTTAAATAAATTATGTTTTGTTTAGTTATAGGGAGAGGGTAATGATGATATTAGACCCTCCCACGCGTACGTGTATAGGACCTTAAAGGATCACTATTGAATTTGGTATTGATCTCTATAAAAGTAATCATATGGGTGTATGACTTGATTTTTCTAGAGATCTGTGTCAAATTTAATGGTGATCTTCTAGAATCCAATACACATAAGTGTGGAAAGGTCTCATAGGATTATTACTCTTTCCCTATAATCAAACAAAATATAATTTATTTAAATAACAAATAAAGTATCTTTTCGTGATTTTTTAATATAAGGGACATTTTGCATTTGTTTTATATATAAAAATATGGATGAAGTTTTCTATAACGCCTGTGATTTATGAAAACCAAATAAATCTTCACCACAAATCCTCACTGAGAAGCACTTTCGGCAACGAGAATTTCCAAGACGGCTGCAAAATCAATTTTGAACACAAACAATAAAATTTTAAATTAAAAAAAATGTACAAATCTTAAGAATCTTTGAATATGCATTTTTAGGATGAAATGAAGGGTTTAGATAATTTGCTAATACACATTCTTTAAGAGCTTGAAATCCTAATTGTTTTTACAACTATAGTACTCAAGTCTAGATGATCGAAGTAAAGGTTTTTCAATGCTTGTATTATAATTTTCGATGAGTTATTAGGTGAGGCTTACTTATTTTCACCCCCATCAAACCATTCTCGATAGAAACTTGGGAAGAGAGACGATTAATGTTAAACTTCATGGACAAATGGGAGTAAAAGTAAATGAGAAGTGAATGAGAAACAATTTCTTTCTATTGTCAAATAAAAGAAGCAAATTGTTGGAAATAATGTTTTGAAACCAAGAATATGGCGTTGATGGCCCTCCACTGAATCAGTTTTCATTGTGAAGGCCGATTCTTTCTAAGGTCAAATACTAAGAGAATATTTAAAAATCAATAAAATTTGAATTAAGTGAGAATCACCTTATTCTTGGGTTGAATCGCCGATTCGATTTTATTGACGTAATTACCTAATTCCTTGGCAGGACTGTCAATTGCCTCCAAGTCAGAGAGACAATTGGTTCCATAAATGAATTCACTTATTGAATCCAATTTAGATCGTCGATTCTGATTCCGATAAACAATTTCTCACACACGAGTTTAAAATCGATTGCATCTCCAAAGGAAAGTCTAAATCTAAGAGTGGCTAATACATGGTGAATGCTCACATTAGCGTGTGAATCTCTATATAGATATATCTCTAGCATATATCTCGGCACAGTTTTTGAGGTGCGCCTTACTTTGATTATCTAAGGTTGATGCTTTATACAAACTAGATGCTAGATACATTAGCGTGTGAATCTCTATGTGAAGTTTGTATAAAGCATCAACCTTAGATAATCAAAGTAAGGCGCACCTCAAAAACTGTGCCGAGATACAATTTAAGTACTAGAAAGCCTTGTAATGACATAAAAATATATTATTGTTTTTAGTTATGAAATTTAAAGCTCCAAATATAGTGCAGTTGGAGTAGATCTATAAATAAAAAAAAATTGAAAATAGTCGGCCTAAGTAATATATTACAAGATGCACTATTTTCTTTTTGGAATCCTTTGCATCAAATAATCTTTTTCAATTTTTGATTTGTACATTACTTCAATAGCATAAAGTTCACACTTTATTTAAACTGTGTATCTAGTTATTTCTTCCATTTTTCTACTTTGAAGCAATGCCATCTAACCTAGCCCCACGTACCAAATGGGAGGCACTTTAATAAAACTAGGGCTAAAAAAGCGCCTTGTGGTCAACCCGATTAGCCTGACCCAAAATAACTAAGGTTTGGGCCACAAAATATACACCACATGCTTGGGCATGGCCACGATAGGACCGGCTTGGGCCAGCCCATTCTTTTCCCTTTCTTTTTTTTCTCTTTTTTTCTTTTATTGGGTCTATTAGGCATGGCCCAACACAGTCCAGATAGCTCCTGGACCTCCTCTCCCCCAGTTCGAGCTGGGCTAGGCTCGAGGCCCAGGATTGAGATAGTGAGAGGCTGGACCGGCCTAGATCTAGCCCACTACCATCCCTGAACAAATCGCACAAGGTTTACTAAGAAAGAAGATAGAGTTCATGAGAGGGGGAACCTTCACTTTCGATTGTTAGGTAGGGACACGTTGATAAATTAATGTTAGTGAGGTGTATTTCAGGAAACCGGAAAATCTACCGAGCATTATCTACAAGGAGAGGCCTAGAAACCACCCAATTCCATTAATTCCACCAAAAAATAAAATTCTTTTAATTTCCGTTTTTATTCTGAGGGTGCCACGTAGGCCAAGCCATGTGGGTGGAGCCGCAATCGGCCGGATAAGCCCTTTGAGTTCCTTGTTTTATACTTAAAATATCTCCATAAATATTCAAGGAAAAAGAAATAGCTACTTTTTTGGATGAACAAAAAAAGCATCTATCCGTATTCACCTTAGAATCCCAAAGGCGACGAAATGGTGAAACCACACAAGTGGATCAACATAATAGCTACTCTTCTAGGTGAAATAAAATAGCTATTTTCATTCAAAGTATCATCCCAACCCAAATCTTCAAGTACTTGTGTCATTCAAATTTGTACTTTTCAAAAAGCGTAAGTTTTTTTCTTTTTTCTTTTGATAATTTAGGGTCAAATAAGTGGTGTAATCTCAGGGGTAAAATACTTTTTCAAAAATATTTGCATGTGTAAATTGTTTTTCATATGATTGTTTAGCGTGCAATGCATATACAAATAAGCCCCATGATAAAAAAATTTACCATGAAATGGCCAATTTTGTGGTAAAACAAAACATCATCTCTTGAAGTTAGGGGTGGCAACGGGTTAGATCGGGTCCGGACCTGGACCTGAATACTATTGGGGTAGAGGTTTTGGACCCAAACCCGACCTTTTCAGGTAAAAAGTTTGACCCATACCTGGACTTGAAGTAAAGTCTACTCGTCAGGTCCTTGGTCTGATTAGGTACATTGCCACCCTAATGTTCATGTGAGACACATGAGCTTTGACTATGAGCTTCTTTTTTTTTTTTTACTATTTTTTATATCATCTTATACCCATATTATTGGCAACATTTACAGTATTGCACAACATTTATATATACCCACATACACAAATATTATTCTGGTCACGTCCAGGTTGGGTCCACCTAGACGCGAACGCGAGTTCGGGTCTACCCATCAGGTCCTAGGTATGGTTGGGTCCATTGCCACCCTTACTTGAGGTGGGGAAATATTTCTCATGCTTTTATTTTCACACACTGACCCACTATTCATTATTTACAATACACTAAATATAATATTTTATTTATATATGAAATAAATTATATATTCATATATAAATTATATGTTAATAATATTTAATATATAATATATACATAACATTTTATATAAATAATCTATTAGTACTATTGTTATTATTATATTATATTATATTGTATTATATTATATTATATTGTATTATATTATATTGTATTATATTATATTATATTATATTATATGTATATTATTAATATATACATATATGTTTATTATATTATATGTAACATTTATATTATAATACAATATAATATATTGATGTAATATATAATTATATTTATATTATTAAAATATAAATATAACATATTTTGTTATATAATATATTTTATTTATGTAATAGATATTTACAATACAATATATATCATATAATATTTTATATTTACTATAAAAATAATTTTTAATATAAAATATTTTAATACTGTTTAAAAACTATATATTTATACTAATTATAGTGGATAATATATATTTATATAATATAATCATAATATATATTTTATTGTATAATATATAATATATTTTATTTATGTAATAGATATTTACAATACAATATATAATATATGATATTCTATATTTAATATAAAAATAATATTTCATATATAATATTTAAATAGTATTTAAATAAATATTACTATATATTTTAATTACAATATTTAAATAATGCATGTATAGATTTAATATATTTAGAAAATATATTTAAATACCAAACAAGTTACCAAGCAAAGTGTTTACATATGTAAATATTTTTTGTATGAAAATATTTACATACAAACCAAACGTGCCCTAAAATACAGTAGTTACCTTTGCTCGTTTGGCATTCCAAACACAAATACAGTTTCATGAAAAAACTAGGGGAATTTATCAAGGGTAAATGTAGTAAATATCATTAAAGTGCTAGAAGCATTTTATAAAATTATGGCTCAAAAAAGTCTATTTTCCATTGTAGGGTTTACAAGTTTCATTTCATAAAAGTTCATCTTCAAAAATTATCAAAATTTTACAAATTTATCTTTGTTCTGAGTTGGAATCCTGGACAATTAGAGGTATTTAGGTAATTGATCCACTCAATTAATTATTCAAGGTTTGGAAAATGAAACTATCAAATGAGCAAATATAGTAATGTACAACCAGGGTTATCTTCATCATTGAGTTCAAACTTTGATCAACAAAGCAATATTGATAATTACTTTTGAGCAACTCAGTAGGCTGACTTACCACAATATTCAAGGTTGTTCCCACCCTGGAAGGGGTAATTTGGGAGGAAAATTTTCTTTTGTACACAAAAAAAAAGGGCAAAACACGGAAAGGTCCATGTTTTCCCAGATATTATGTGCAGGTCCCATCCCCTCGCTTTTTTTTTTTTTTGTCCAATTTGCCCATCGGTTCAATGTTACTAACATAGGATCAATTTAAATTCTTTTTTCTTTTTTTTTTTGAATGAAGGGTTGTAACCTGTGTTTTAGGTCACTTTGTGACCAGTCAGATGTCTAGAATATCAGACTGCCTTAAAGTGGGTCGTCCAATGTTGGAGACATCGGAGAGGCTGAAACTTAATCTCGGTCCATTGTATCTGATATCGGATAGGTTTCTAATTTATCTTAACCTCCCAGTCCAATATTTCCTGACATTGGACTGGTCTGAATAATTTTTTTCAGTACTGGCATAGAACATTCCAAACATTGGATTGGTCTGAATAATTTTTTTTAGTACTGGCATAGAACATTCCAAACATTGGACTAATTGAAGGAGCCCCTAAACTTTGGGATAGTCTGATACATGCCCTACAAGGAAAACATAAATTTAATCTAGTCCTATTTCAGTAATATCGTATAGAGGGGTAAACTAGAAAAAATAAAAAAGCAAACAGAACGATCTACACGTAATATTTGGAAAAATATGAGCCTTATTGTATTCCCCCTTTGTTTTTATGTATAGATGTACAATTTCCAATTTTAAATGTAAATTTTTAGGGAGGTACCTTTGTGTAATGAAACTTAAAAATTAATCCCAAAAAATGATATTTTTTTAGCCCTTTATTTATTTTATAAGATAGTTCACGCTCACTTAGATAAAAGCTTATATAGAGCCGAGGCTCTAAACAATCAAATTTGAGCCTACCTCAAATATTTCACTAGAAGTAGTTGTTTTGATGCCCAAATATCTTCAAATTGATCATCTTGATATCAAGAAGCATGGACATGAGAAAAAAAATGGATTTCAAGTTTTGGAAATAGTGTATTTTGTAATGCATTTTTGGACTGTCAATTTTCAAGATTTTCAAGTTTTCATAGATCTGTAGATCTACATAATTTTTAAAGCTTTAAACTTTATAAATAAATATAAAAATATATTTTAAGGCTATCACAAATATTTTCAATAATAAAACCGCATTTCTCGACACTATTTGAAGGTTTTAGAGCCTTGGCTCCATACAAACTGCACCCTTATGATATTTCCTCTGTCTTTCTAGATTAAATAACTTAAACAAGCGAGGTATTTGTGCCATTTGGCACATTTTATAGCCCAGGCGACATCGTGATACTAACCCCGCTTGTTCTACGTTTCAAACTTGAAATATGCATCTTTTCACTAGAATGTCTTATCCCGTTTGTTCCATGTTTCAAGCTTGGAATAAGCAATTTTTTAAATTAGAATACAAGTTTGAATCCCTACAATAAGTAGCACAATTAGATAATGAGCTCGATTGTCAAAGCAATCCTGATCGTTCAAAACTCCAAACAAAAAGTAGAGGCATCATGGGTATTTCTAAGAATGTGATTGAGGAAACACCTATATGAAACCATAGTTTAGACTAACGGCATTTTAGTTATATTGATTGATTTACTCACGATTTTTCGAGATGGCTCGACTATTTTAACATAATATGTTCCTTGTTTATAAGGAATCAATAAGGCGACCAAGTTGCCCATCCAAAAATGGTGAATGGTGAGGAAGTGAGTGCTTTGATAAAACAAAATGATAAATGCTAAACAACTCTGTTGTCACATGCAAGGTTTGGCATCTAACTGAAAATCATCAATTTAAGCACGTATTAACTATTCTCAACATCATGATGGAGTCTCATGCCTGCCTTTCTCTCTAAGAGACAGGACAAAGGGAAAAGAGGTGAGAGGCCTCAGTGCTTCAATGCTTGTCTCTCAAGTTAGTTAAATTTCCCAAGGCCAAGAAAAGAAGCGTGGTCCCTAAGGTCAAATAAGCAAAAGGTAAAGCTAAGTACGGCATCGAAAGAGGGGTGAGGTTTGTACAAGGTGTCAACCTTGTAGCTTTAAAACTACGTCGAAAATGCAATTTCGGTACCACAAAGCCCTGCTATAATATGAAAATCTATTATATCCTCCCAGCTATGAAATTTAAAGTTCGAGAAATGGTGACAATCAAGCAAATCTATAAACACTTCAAAATCTTGAAAAATAGACGGTTCAGATAATATATTAGAAGATGAACTATTTTAGTACTAGAAATCCCCTTGTTTTTCATTTCTACAAATCTCAAGGTCGAGATGATCGATTTAAGGATTTTCTAGTATAAGAACAATCTTCACTAGTGGGTTTTTTAGGTGTACCTTACCATATAGTATAAGGTTGAGACCTTATATAAAATTTTCCTCAAAAGAAAAGCTATTAATAATTCATTTTCTCAAAGTAATTAGTTTTTTAATTCATTTAATTCGAATAAAATATTTCACTCTAGAACGCAAGGAACAGGGAGAGGAAATTTGAAATTTTACAAATTGCGTTGGAAGAAATGGGCAACTTAATGGCGTGGATTTTGTGCTTTTCAAAGAGCATGCTATCCATTTACTCCCTTGGTCAGCAAACCCACTTGGGAGGATATATTTTTTTTTTTCTGATATAAAAGTTTGGAAATTACCTAAGAATTACTAGACGATTCTTTTCAAAAGAGGAAAATCTGAATTTTGAGTTTTATAAACCTGATTCTCACCCTCAAAAAATTGAACATTTTCAGTTCAATCTTGGAATATTATAATTTTCCTAGTGCATTAAGAGTGAAATTTTCTTTTTGAGGTTAGCATACAACGCAAAAACTGGGATCCTAAAATTCCTCAAATATTAAGTGTTACCTGCGGGAGTAAATGCTCCATAAGAGTATACAGTCTTTTGGCCATTGAAATATGATTGTTTGCTGTAAGAGCTAGTCTAATTTTAGCCTCGCACACTAATCAGAGCACAAAGCCTTTCAAAACTCTCTCTCTCTCTCTCTCTTATTTGGTATTGAACCATGCCGAAAAGTTATTGAGGGACCGCTCGGATTTTTACCTATCACCTGTCTAGAAAACCAGGGCTTTACATTTAAATGGAAAAGGAAAACCACGGCTTCACATTCTAACTACGGCCTCAACTTAACAATCAAATGGAAAAGGAAAATCTTCATCACCAGGTAGCGGTAGCCCAAGACCTCTCTATTGAATTTGTTTGCATGAGAGGGAGCGTGCAAGAGAGAAAGAGAGAGCGAGCGTTTAAAAATAAAATGCTCTGAAATTTGAAATAATTCACTCCGAGAATGTGAATCCAACCCATCAAACTCAATCGAAAGTATACTATAATCCTCTTAACCAAATAGGATGTGGGTATGAAACGCCTCAATGAGGCCATAGTGGAGACCGTTGCGTCGAGGCTTTCACCCTTTTCACTGCCATCAAATCCATTGTGAGAACGGGACTGAGCCTCATGAGCACACACATGAAAGACATGACCACATATGAACCCCCAGTGCCGGGTGTGAGAAATAAAAAAAAACAATAAAAAATCCCCTCCCTATATGAAAACAAAGCAAAAAACAAAAAACAAAAAAATAGATTCATCTTAATCCTGGCATTAGGGGCAAATTTCCTACTTAAGAACTGATTTTCTTTTTTTCTGAATTATTTTCCTTGCTTTAGAGCATGTATGAGAGAGAGAGATGATTGGTTACAATGAACTGTACGAGAAAATTTCTTATTGAATTAGTTTTTGCAAAGATTCAAACCTCACAAATCAGCATGAATATCCTTTTGAAGAAGGATAAGTAAACTCCAGAGTTGATACCCTAGCCACAAACCTCTATTGCAAAAATGTGAAGTACCCACGGAGGGAAGTCTAGAGTTCATCCTGCGTGATGAAACAAAGAAAAACACAACAAAAAACAGAAAACGAATCTAGTCAACAGTTTGTTTTGTAACCTCAAATCTTTTTAGCAAACAAACAATAACAACAAAGAAACAAGACGTCTGTATCTTCACATGGTACCAAAACTTAAATATTCAAATTAAAACAAAAATGAGGTTAGATAAATGGTAAACTATAGAAAACAATACTCACATGTTTGCTGGAGTTGTCAGCATCATCTTCAGCCTCCTCAGCCTCAGTCTCTTCTGGTTCTTCTTCCTGTTGCCATATGCAAGGTTAGTCAATTCTAGATTCGAACAATAAATGGTAAGAGACTGCTCTTCAATAGAATAAAGTTTTGAAGAAGAAGAAAGGCAAAGCTGTCTATATGCTACAACACAAACTTGATACAAATTAAGTCCGAGATTTCAAAATATCTAAATAAATAATCCAAGAATATCTATTAAACAAATACAGCCAAAGTTAGGACCCCCAAAACACACACACACACACAAAAGAAAAAAGGAAAAAACAAGAAAGAAGGCACTTTCTAGAAGGCTGCAGCCTTCTCATTGAAGTAGGGCTGATCTGCACCAACCAATTATTTTGATGGTCAAGATTTGGCACAAGGAAACTGGTGAAATATGGTGCCCCAGTTTCCTTCCTGCCACATTTTTTCTTTCTCAAGCCTCTCTCTCTCTCTCTCTCTCTCAAATCACAAAGAAAAAACGAGACTGAAAAAACGCCATTTTCAGACATTATTTCAGGTTATCCTCCATCGTAACAGACACATAAAAAGAAGTTACGCCCACTGAAAAATTCAAGTTAACTCTCAGGTAAAGTTGATTTTGACATTTTTTTGGTGATTCCCTCAAGATTACCAGCAATTCCCCAAACCAAAGGAGCTCAAACACATCTTTGATCCCCAATTCCTCACCTCACCCCAAACATACTCGAGATCGAAAAAACTCCAGTTTCAGACATTTTTTCAGGTTATCCTCCATTGTAACAGCCACATAATAGCGGTTACTCTCGTTGAGAAATTCACCTAAACTCGCCGGTAAACTCGATTTTGACATTTTTTCTGGCTATTCCCTCGAGATTCTCGGCAATTCCCTAAACCAAAGGAGCTCAATCACATCTTTGATCACCAATTCCTCACCTCACCCCAAACACTTCCTCAAGTTTAATCTTTAATAAAAATATCAGCATGATTTTCTCTTCTAAAGGATGAAGTACCCATTGTGTGTTCTTTGATGAAATTCCTAGCTCAAACAAAGAACTCCTTAGAAGACAGCAGCAAAGAAAACAATAGAAGATCACAACAGTCTGTGCTCTTCTAAATGGAGGTCAAGGCTCGGGACGGGATTTACAAGGCGAAAGAGAAGAGAGAAAGAAAGTGACCATAGAAGAAGGTTAAGAAAGTGACCATAGAAGAAGGTTAAATCTTCAGGGCGGGGGGGGAGGGACAGAGAGAGGCACGGAAGAAGGCTATAGAGAGGATGAAAAAGTAATAAATGGGTAACCAGGGCTTCTCATGCCCCCATCTTTTGTCAAATAAAGTAAACAAATCTGTATTGTCAAAAATACATGGACATTGCAGGATGCTGCCTACCCCACTGTGCTAAGGATGAGGCCTTACAAAAACTTTTCTATATATGTGTGTGTGCACCAACACGTGTGTGCGCACCCAAAGAAGATATACTCCTGCAGGAGCATAACATACATTTACTTCCACTACTAAAATATTATCTAGGAGTGTTTTAGGACCCCAAATTTTTGGGACATAACCTCCTTAGCCCAAGTGACCAACCTAAAAAAGAAAAGAAATTCATATATCTGCCTGAAAAAAACAACTGTTAGTATTGAAGACCATCCAATTTTTAGACCATCAAATATATATATATATATATATAGTGAGCTTATAGTTGGGCCGTAAGAGGACATAAACCCCAAACCCTGACATGTGTAGCTTACTCATAGTGTGTGCACAAACAATCGTATTTTGGTAAGCCATTCTGATAAGGTAAGATCCACCTATCAAAACCGTGCACGCGTGCTAAGAGATGACCCCCACATTCGCAAGAGTGCATGTCCTAAGGGGGCACCTGTAATCCACTGAACAACCTTGGAGTCCATCCAACTATCAGTCAATTTTGATAGGCCCACTCATGTTCGGACTGAAGTTTGTGACACATAGGGGTCTATTGGGTTGGTCTGAGAAATTGGATTTGAGTTTTTGGGTCTAGCCCAGTGGAGTACCATACGACCCGACCACCTATGGAACTGGGTTTTTCCACCCTAGATTTATGAGAAGTGCCAAACCTTAATTTTTTGATAAGAAATAATTTATCATGATTTCAGTTGACTTTTGGGAATTTTATTTTCAAAGGAAAATGCTTTGATGAATTTATTGTGTACTAATTCCAATTAAGGTGTCCGCACATGTGGCGTGTGGCACACAAATGGCCAATGTGTGCCACATGTGCTTCCTATAGGGCAGCAATGTCATTGCCCAATAAGCATGACACGAACACCTTAAAACTTGACATGGGACCCTTGTTTGGATGTAATAGATAACATGGATAAGTGTAATGTGTTTTTGTGGCACATGTGTGAAGCACATGTATGAAAACATGAGTGAGTTCACATGTGGGAATGTAGAGATTCCATTTTTTTAAATCATTTTATCATCTAATTAGATTGGGTTATCCATTAGAAATCTAAAATAAAGAGCTCTCATTGGTGTGAAAGTGATAAGGGGACAAGTTATGACATGTCCCCCTCCTTTGAAAGGGACCTTTCTAAGGATTAAGTGAAGAGGAAGCTTCACATTTAATGAGCCATAAGGGTGGCATGCCACCCGCATTTAAACTCGATGACGAAGGTATCTTATTGATGGTGGAGATTTCATGTTTATAAAATCAATGGTTGAGATGGAATGATTTTTAAAAATTAAGGATAAAGGGCACAAATGATATTGTTGGAAGTGTGTGGAGGTAGTATGTGGGTATGATGATAAGGGTGTGATCATTAATCATCATCCATGTGATAGCCATCAATGGTGATTAGCTAGGCTAGGTATTTAACCTCTCTCAACCCTTGGATCACTCTATGCGTGATTGAGATCTAATCTAAGACGTAAACCCCACATGAAAAAACTATAAATAGAACCCCTTCCCTTTGGCTCATGGTTCATTAGTTCTTCATTTTGGAACTCATATCCCTTCTCCAAAAGGGCCTCATGCCCCACTCATTGAACTTTTCTCTAACCCACTTCAAAGATAATATTTTTTGTAGCCAAGCCCTTTGATTTTTGCTAAGTCTATGTTCATGATGAAGCCCTTGTGTCCTAAGCTTCATCACGCACCATCCATTATGTGATGGCTGCTGTTAAGCCAAGTTCTGGCTGCTGTTATGTCTAAGAAGTGTTGCTGGAAATTCTCATGACCCCCTTTGCAATACCATTTCTAAGATCCAAATAGAGTTTACCCTTTACATGCCTTTCACCCAAGATGAAGGTATGTTGTATGCAACCTCATCACGCAATTATCATTCAGTTGTGATTACTGTTTTGTGATAGATTGGCTGCTGTAATTTGTGAAAAACAGTGAGCATATTTCATTCATAAGTTTCCTTTTAAGTGGTTAAGTGTTAGAGTTATAAGGGCTTTTCAATTTGTGTTATGTAGATATAGTTTTTATGCTATTTTTGTGCAAATAGTTGAGACCTCTATGTTGTTGGAAATGCTAACATAGAAGCATAACAGTGAGCTCTCCCTTAGCTCCATGCACCGAAATTGGTCCTTTTGGTCCCATAGTGGTTAGGACCTTTGAGCTAAAACCTAGGGCCGAAACTATTGCGTTTCGAGCCTGTTTTAGGATTGAATTCCCACCTTTTGTTTCACATGGAACTATGCCCAATCTTGACATGTTTTTGGGATCCATATGAGTACTAGAACTACGTCATGTGGTGGTAAGATTTATTTGCTTCCCGATATTAGATCAAAACCGGACCCTTCTTGCAATATCGAGAGTGAGTGATAGTCAAGAGTTGTAATCATATCGTTGTGGTGTTCGCACAGTGGTTATAGTGAAATCGACTTCCCATTGGATACTTTAAGCTCATGCACATTGTTACTTTAGTCTTTATTTTGCTATATCTTATTTCATTCGAATTGTAAGAAACTATGCTCGAATTATGAGGGCATAGTTTTTGTTGAAGATTATTGTAATTTTTGTTGTTATAGTTTGTAGTAAGTGGGAGTTTCCCCAAGATGAAATGAAAGATTGTGTAAGTTTTTTGAAAATTTTTTATTGTGCATACCTTATTTAATTCCCTCGATATTACTTCAGTTTTGGCCTAGGATATAGGGGCCCCACACTTTATGAGCTCAAAGGGCCTTTGTTGAAGAAAGAGGTGGAATTAACAAATGACTACTTGAAGACCCACAAGGATGCTTGGGCAGATGTCATGTGACTATTATGACAGATTTGTAGACCGCTAGGAGGCGTAGGAGTGTTTTGAACTTATTAGTTAATTGCCCCATGGAAATCATTTTTTTGAAGTCCATTTACGAATCCAATAAGATTCATGATGTCGCTTTCATGTAGAGTGTTGTGGATCAGTGCATTGCAAAGGTGGGGGAGGCACATATTGTGTAGGTTGTCACAGATATGGCTCTGGCCAATCTGGCAGCTGGTAGAATGTTGGAGATTTCGAGGCCACACATTTTCTGGACGCCTCGTGTGGCTCATTGAATAGATCTCATGCTTGAAAAAATTGCCACAAAGAAAGTGGTGCGTAAGATATTAGAAAAAATAGAGCTATAATAGTTTTTATTTATAGCCACACATGTTTTGACGATGATGAGGAAGTTTACAAATGGGACTGACTTGGTGAGGCAAGGGATCACCAGGTTTGTCACTTCATTCTTGTCTTTGGATTCTTTGAATAAGCAAAGAGACAAGCCCCGAACCATGTTTGTCTCTGAAGATTGGAAGGGGAGCAAGTGGTCGCACCCAAGTTTTAGAGTGGGGTTCAGTTTTGCCTCCATATTTTTGAGCCACTTGTGAAAGTTATTCGCCTTGTTGATAGTGAAAAGGAACTGGAAATAGGGCATATTTTCAAAGCAATGGAGGTTGCAAGAGAAGAAATCAAGCAGAACTTGAAGCACGATGAAAAACGATATGGCCCCATCTTGAAAATTGTAGATGACAAGTGGATATGTAGTCGGAGAGACCCCTACACCTAGCAGGGTATTATCTCAACCCTGCTTA